CTCTCTCTCTCTCTCTCTCTCTCTTCTCACGTGGACATGCACACACACACGAGTTCTCTACATCGAACATGACAAAACATTGAAAACAACTTGGGAATTTTATTTTTTTCAAATGTGCATGCACCAGTGCAATAACGGGGCCACTGTGCTGTGCGCCCATGCACCTGGTGCGCAGGTGCACGCACATCGAGTTTGGGTGCACTGCACACAGTGCAGCACACGGCACTGGTGCACCACAGGTATGAATTGGATTGAAGGAAGGAAAGCACGGAGGGACACAGTAATTGATGCAAAGCAGCAAAATTGATAACGTCTGGGAAAATAAAAAGAAGTGTGGAGGAAGTGACCCATAACATGAGCAGTTTAATCCAACAGTACATGCACGTGCCCTCATGCAAGTGAAGACATTTGTTCATCTGTTTGATTTTTGCAGGTCAGAGTCAACGAGGAGCTTGATCCTATGCACGTGATCAGGAGGCTGAAGCAAGAAGTGAGGGATCTCAAGGTTCGGAAGCAAAATGAGTTCTATAACTTGGTATTTTCTTCTCGCTTTCTTTTGAACTTTCCGTATCTTTTTCCATTGATGCAGTTTGCATGTGCTGCCCATACAATCGATTCTTGCCTTCCTGTGTGCTTCCTGTGTGTTGATCCTGTACACCGGACAGTGCAAGTCGATCTACACCGTCGAGTGTAAGTCGATCTACACGGTAAAAATATATTTCATGCGAGTAGATTTACATCGTAGACCGTTGAACGTACAGAGTACGGTAGAGTTCTTTCGACATAAACTTCATAAAGTCATCGTACACCTTAAACTCGTGGATTGCCGATGGCTTCACACAGTGTGAGTCTGATTGGCCCTATCCGTCCATGCTGGGTTGTTGGACCTGAATGCCAACATGATCCATCCCATGAAATGCCCGATGGATGAATCAGTGCCATTAGGTGGTGCGTGTTTGATGACCAGGTCACAGGCAACAGCTCAGAATCCAACTCACCTTCCACACAACAAGAATTCATCAGTTTGACGTCTAAGAAAGGAAATGTGGTGGGTGAGAAAGTGTTAAGTGAAGACTCAAAAAATGCCAACACACTTTGGGCCGGGATACGACATTACATATTTATTTTCTTCTTCTTTTTCCAACGCTTCTCTTGATTATGAGTGAGAGGCCTGAGTGGGCAGCATTGATTACTTCCCTTAGGAAGGATTTACCTCCCCTCACCCCTGCCTCGTTTAGCCTCGTAGTTTTTCCTCATAGCAGCCTGCCCTTGAAGATTCTCAGGCTGGGCCTACATTAGAAATACACTCCCTGTGTCCTTCGGGACATCCGTTAAAATTGGAACGATACAGAGAATGAAGATTAGCATGGCCCCTGCACAAGGATGACAGGCATAAATTGAGAAACGGTCCGAATTAAAAAAAA